AGGGATGGAGGGATGGAGGGATGGATGGATGGATGGATACATGTATTGATGGATTTATAGGATGAGATGGAAGGATGATTAAATCAAATATTAGCATGTAAAGTCATTTCAACATCGTTATTCACAGAATGCTTGCCAAAACAGCCCATGCCACAAGAATAGCGCTTGTCGAACAAACATAAGAGATGAGACCAAACCCCACTGGTGTGTCTGTCCTCCCGGCTTCCGAGGACCAAGCTGCAGTAAAGGTAAACCAGAAACATGGCTGATGAATTCAGTTTACTACCTCTCAGTCCAAAAACCGATCTAATTGGTTCATTCCCCGTGGTCTATTAGAGTACACACCACGTTAGACCCTTTGAAATTTATCTTGTAAAGCCAACAGGAAAATATAAAAGAAATGACAAAAATTTCATCGAGATTAAGTTTTGTTTCCTTCATATATTTCCATTAGACTCGAATCCAAGTTATTTTTGGAAGTGATCTTTGCACGTTCCGATTTTGGTTTTGATTTTTTTCTTGTTTTTTTGGGTTTTTTTGGTATCTTATATTTGCTTTTTTGTGTGTATTTATTCCTTTGTTTAACTTAAATTTTTCTAGGCATTGACGAATGCCAGACCAGCTCGTCTTCGAAATGTCCTGAATTTAGCACTTGTCAAAACACCAATGGATCCTTTCATTGTCAGTGCAATGTAGGCTATAAATTGAATGACTCCAAATGTGTCGTTGGTGAGTGGACTCTAGAAATCCTATTGAAATGGGCCTTTACGGTTTAGGGAAATCACGGTAGCTATGTCGCGAGGGCTACAAGACTAAGACAAGACTCAAAATCCTAAGATTCGCAAAATGAAGCAACCAGTTATGAGCCTAGTTTGACGATACAAGACTAAGGCAAGACTCAAAATCCTAAGATCCTCAAAATGAAGCAACCAGTTATGAGCCTAGTTCGACGATATGGCGGCCATCTTGCCAGTGGGAAAACAAAACAGATTCCATGGAAAATACATAGTTTCGTGTATTGACTTTCTTCTATGGGCAAAGGTGATCGATGTACAGTCTTAATCCATCTTTTGCCGTATTGTTTTGGTTAGCTGTTAAGAGGAAATTTTTTCAACAACGAGCAATAATGGCAAAAAGCGCCAAAAACTAGACCTTCGTATGAGTTTTGATCCCAATTTTCGTTTTGGGTTAATACTCAAAACCCTTTTTTTAACAGTTAGAAACTGATGTACTATGATAAAATGCTTGTTTGAAG